ATATTAATTTATAGAGGTTCTACTGTATGTGTGTTTTCTTCTTTCCTTACAAAAGTCTCTTAACTATATGAATCAGTTCATGATTACATGACTTGAATTATTATTCAATCAAATCTCTTTAATTAATTTCCATGAAATGGGTTTCCATGACTCTTCTTCAAATAGCAGAACCAGAAAAAGAAAATTCAAAACTCTTTTACAAGATTATAAACACATGATGATGATGATAAGCTTGTGTATATTTCTGTACATGCGTTTTAAGAAGCTGTCCACAATCTTCTGTCAATGATCTTTCTCCTCTCTGCTCCACCCTTGCTAATTGTAACACCAAATTAGTTAGAATTTTTGATCCAAACGAAACAAAAAAAATAGTTAGCATTATAAATCTTAGTTGAACAAATCAATTAATTAGCATTATATTACTAAACCCAGCCCATGATAAGATATCGGTAAGGCCCAATAAGGACCGGAACTGTGTTGAGCATAAAGGGTTGTCATTGCAAATAATATTAGTATGACTGTATAATTCTGCAAATTCGCAAAACTCCGAGGGTTTCTACACAAAAAAACGAAACACGGAAAAGTTGTCGGAGAGTAAAAGAGTATAAACATTGGTTTACTTTTCCGTCGTAGCTTTCTCCGTTTCGCTTAATCGAATTCGTTGTTCGATTACTGCAAAAAAGAATCGATTGCGATGGCGAGCGAAAGCCCTGAAGTTGCTGTAGCTCCAGTGGTGGAGAATGGCGGCGCTGACTCATCCTCCTCCAAAGGGAAAAAGGAAAACTTGGAGTCTGAGCTTTCGAATAAGCTTGAGATTACAGAAGATGCAAACGAGGAGAACGAAGGAGAAGAAGAAGATGGAAGCAAAGGTGAATACTTTATTCTTGGTTTTCTGATTTTGGTCATGTAGTTGTGTTATCTTTCTGTGTTATACCCTTTCTAAGACAAAGACTTGTCTATTTTTGAGTGAGGTTTTATGGGTTTAGAGTGATCTATAGTTCATGAGTGTTATTATGGTTGATTGATATATTGCATGTCTCTTTTGTTCATTTAAGCTGAGACTTCAACGAAGAAGAAGAAGAAAAAGAAGAGTAAAAGCAAGTAAAAAATTGTTTATGTTCTGTCTTTTCTTTCAATTTTGCTAGTTTTGGTCATGTTTTGCTTTAATGATGGCTTCGCTTATGTTTGCAGGAAGAAGACCCAACAGACTGATCCACCTACAATCCCTGTAGTTAAGCTTTTCCCATCTGGAGATTTCCCTGAAGGTGAAATCCAACACTACAAGGACGAGTAAGTTATGTAACCTTTGATATGTTTAGACAATAGTTGTAGATTTTGTGGAATAATCTATATAACTTTGTTTTTTCCTCTGTCGAATCATACATGTTCTACTTACTGCATTGAACAGCTTCAAGGGAAATCTTCTAAATGTATTGTGCATTAGGCGTAGATTTTATGAAATAGTCCATATAGCTTTTTTCTTGAATGTCAAGGCTCTTTCATTTCGTTACCTGTGTCACACTCTTTGTACTGACATTGTAAGACACTATGATATTGATCTTTGTAATGTAGCAATTTGTGGAGAACAACATCTGAAGAAAAGAGAGAGTTGGAGCGTTTGGAGAAGCCAATATACAACTCTTTACGCCAGGCTGCAGAAGTTCATCGCCAGGTTGACCTTTTAACCGATTAAATGATCATAGATTATTGCTTTTTTTTTTTCTGGCACTTGTTTTTATATTCTTTTGCTAATTTTTCAGGTTAGAAAATATATAAGAAGCATAGTGAAGCCTGGAATGTTGATGACTGATATATGTGAGACCTTGGAAGATACTGTTCGTAAGCTGATATCAGAGAATGGTCTGAAAGCTGGAATTGCTTTCCCTACAGGATGCTCTTTGAATTGGTTCGTTATAACTTTCTCTTTCTATCAACTATTCTTCTTTAGAATGTCATGTTTCTCTAATGGCTTTTTAACTTCCAGGGTTGCTGCTCATTGGACACCAAACTCCGGAGACAAGACTGTACTTCAATACGATGATGTTATGAAACTGGATTTTGGAACACATATTGATGGTATAACAGAAAATTTCCTTTTTTCTCCTCTGTACAAATTTCAGATTGAAATTAACATCTCTTGTTTATTTGCAGGGCATATTGTTGACTGTGCATTTACGGTTGCGTTCAATCCTATGTTTGATCCTCTCCTAGCAGCCTCCCGTGAAGCTACTTATACCGGTATTAAGGTGCTGATTCTTCTTTTTTTCTTTCTAATATGCACTTCTACTAATGGGGTGAAGCATTTTTGAGTGATTTGTTCTACTAATTTGTTTAATTATGTTATCTTTCAACTACAATTGATACAAACTGAGTTTCTAGCTCATAAGCTTAGTGTGAAAACTGGATTCATTTTGTCGTTGAATTGTTAGGAACCACATAGTTATTATTCTTAATCTCCTTGTTGTGTTTTTGGCTGGCTCAGGAAGCTGGAATCGATGTTCGCCTCTGTGACATTGGTGCTGCAATTCAGGAGGTCATGGAGTCTTATGAGGTTGAAATCAATGGAAAGGTCTTCCCAGGTACTAATATCAAATGTCAAATCTAGTAACAACTGTTACATCACTACCAGTTTAACTATTTTGTTGTCCTTTTTTGTTAGTTAAAAGTATCCGGAACTTGAATGGGCATAGCATTGGACCTTATCAGATACATGCTGGAAAATCTGTTCCTATAGTTAAAGGAGGCGAGCAGACAAAGATGGAAGAGGGTGAATTTTATGCTATCGAAACATTTGGATCAACTGGTAAGCAAAAAAAAAAAACAGTCACTGCATCTTTGGGATTCACCAACGATTGATCCTCTGTTTGTGTATCTCTATTGCAGGGAAAGGATATGTGAGAGAAGACTTAGAATGTAGTCACTACATGAAGAACTTTGACGTTGGCCATGTGCCCTTGAGGTTGCCTAGAGCGAAACAGCTCCTTGCCACTATCAACAACAACTTTTCGACTCTAGCCTTCTGCAGACGTTATTTGGACCGCATTGGTGAAACCAAATACTTAATGGCTCTGAAGAATCTGTGCGACGCTGACATAATTCAGGTAACACTCTTCTTAGACCAATCACACACTAGGATAAATGAGGTTGATGAGAAAATTGCGTATAAGTCTTGTTCTATGTTTTATTTCAGCCGTATCCTCCTCTGTGTGATGTGAAGGGAAGCTACGTATCACAGCTTGAGCACACTATTTTACTCAGACCTACTTGCAAAGAAGTTGTTTCCAAGGGAGATGATTATTGATTCAGATCCTTTGTTTTGTGCTCTGTTCGTTTTATCTCATATACTGTTCTTGAGATTGCACACTGCTTGTTTCTTTTGCATCCTTTTAATAAAACTTCAATGCCTTTTGAACATGAATGATCTTACTAGTAGTCACCCATTAAAAATATGGAGTGATGTAAAGCTTCTTGCGTTGGGGGAAAAAGTCATCTTTAGATTTGAAATGGATGTGGAAAGAGAAGTAATGGAGAGGCAAAGGTGACTAGGTGAGTGAGGGCTTCTCATCACCGGCGCGTGGGTAGCAACCGCTACAACATACTAACCTTCTGGAGTTGCAAACAGAACAAACCGGTTCTTGGTTATAATAACCAGCCTCACCCGGTTTAATATCAACAACATTTTGGTCCAAAACATTCCACGTCATTACACTGATTCGAGTTGGATACAATAGTCTACACACATACTTTCCCAACCAAGACAGTTTGGTTGGTTATTGTAGCACATCCCACCCGGTTAACAACAAATTTGCAACAACTAAAGAAAAATTAAAAGGTAAGGAATGGAAGGCCGAAGCAAAATATCAAATAGTTATGAGCTCCCAAACTTCTCTAGACATGTCAATAGTCTCGGTGACACCATCCTCGTACGTGACCTGGACAAAGAAGGCTATTTTGTTATAGATTTCTAAAAAAAAGATAGATGGTGAATAACAGAGCTGAGCTGAAGTCATGTAACTAGTAAGTACCAAGTGCTTTTTTGAAAACTCATCAAATTGTCTAATGATGCCAAAACACCTGAGAATATAAAATATTAAAGTCAAAAGACGTCATATCATGAATTCAAGAATCATATCAAGGGCCTATAGAGGTGCTCAGTGAGCAGAGCTAATGTATCTGACTCAGCATTTTGACAAGAGAAAAAAAAACAGATTTGCCACCTCTGGTTCGTGGGACGTGCCAACATGAAAACCACACCAATGCAGTTTGGGCGACATGTTTTCCCTTCGCTCAGATAGTTCCGAGATTGTCCTGTCGCATCCAAATTGTTTTTCCTTATATATCTTTGAATTGAGAAGCTTGTCGAAGATCGAGATTGAAGTATTGATACTAACCGGTGGAGAGTCTACCTCGCGTCCTTTTCACCTAACCAAGTAGCATACCAAATCACGAAATGGTTATAGAGATGATTAGATAGTAACAGCAAGTTTGTTATTGTAGACATGAACTCAAAGCTAGCCAACAACACCATTAATATGTAAGCTTTTCTTTCATATAGACTTCAATTTAAATCTTACCTTGGACTTCAATTTCACAGCTTCATCAGAGGGTATGTTCTTAGTTTTTCTAGCTTTTGCACCTAGCTGTTTCCTGCAACATACTGCACCACAGTAGCAATCTTGATCTGCACCAAACTGAACAAACCTGCTATAGTTCTTAGTGTCACAACCAAACACTATACTATAAAGCAATTCATAAAGGCAATGTTCTTACTGGTAATCATAGGTCAAGTTCTCTCCTTTGGTTATGTAACGGGTGGCAAAGATGCCAATCCTTGTCTCTCCATCAATTATCCTAATGGATACAAACAATGTTACGTTGATCGGAAGAAAAGGGATAAGATGAATGATAGTTAATAAGTTAACAAACCATTTCTGCATCTCAGTGTTAGGATTGCAGCTGTGATTGAAATATCTTGATTTGTTCCCCTTGTAAGTAGAATCAATCACCATATTCCAGTTTATCTGACACAAGTAGAAGTTTGTCTCAACCTTGTGCTTTAGCTTCCGAAGCCTTTCTCCACAAGTCTTATCGTCAATAACTACAGTGAGTATGGCACAGTGTAAGCAGTGCAATAACTCAACTCAAGTATGTGTATAATGCAACCAAATAATAATATCACCTTCCCCAACATATTCAATTATAAAATCTCCTGGATTAATATCTTCATCTGCTGCAATCCCATATCCACATTTCTCCGTCTACAAGAAAACAACTTATATATATTCAAGTAGTCAATTATTTTGTATGACAATTAGTAACATACAAACCTGAACTAACTTCATTTTCTTGATACGTCTTTGTTGGAACGGCTTGTTAGTGCATTCACTTGTGCACTTGCAGCTAGACGAACAGCTTGAGAATAGCATCCTTTACAAAAGAAAATGTAATGCTGGTTAACACCAAGGAACATAACAACTACAACAACACATCAAAAAGTTCTAAAACATCAGAAAATTTTTGCTTGTAGTTTTATGAAGCATACCCACAACTACAATCACTGCCACATGGAGTTGAAGAGCAAGAACAAAATATGCCATGATCTTTAACCCTCTTTTTAAATTTCTCCTTCAGGTAGATATCTATAAAACTCAGGATCATGTGAAAACAAATAAAATGCAAAGAAGGGGTGTGTAAACTGTAAACTAAACCATAAACATGAATCGGTAACGAATCAAAAAGATACTGCGTTTTATGAAGATAGGCATCCTCTTATTCAATCTATCAGGAGATTTCAGTTTTTCCGATCCTCTGATCTTCTTCGAAATCTTTTTGAACCCTTTCCTGATCTGATTCTTACCGGAACCCTAAGAAAAACAGAGAAAAGTGTAAAGACTAAAGACAAAACGAAACAGAGAAATGACTAAACATAACTTACGAATACGATCGAACGTACTTTCTTCTTGTCTGTAACCATTGGATAAAATCGACTTATAATCCTTAATTGATGTTGAATGTTGAGATTTCGAGTGAGAATCAAGTACGCACGGTGAAGTTACGCAGTAGATAGAGAGAAATAGAAGGAACTGTGAACGATCTTCAGTGGCGGAGAGATCTCTATAAATTTTCAAAACTCTAATCGAATTTAATAAAAAAGAAGAAGATGATGAAACAATGGTGAATGCGATGATCAGAGAGTGAACAGACGCGAAGAAGAAATTGAGCGGCAGTTTTTCTACCTTTTTCCATTGTCAATGATGATTTTTAAAATATTACGCGAAAAAGGATAAAACGGTAATTTGCCTGAGTGATACAGGCCCGCTAATATTTAGAATGGAATGGGCTTTAGTTGAGTTGCCCAAAGTAATATTCCGGAATCCCAATTAAATTATCGCATTACGTCGATAGTAATATTGTTAGGCAGTCCGTAGTCGCATCCATGTTTATTCGGCCATAACTATATAATAAAAAGAAAGAATATTCATCTAAATCATTGTAAAGCATAACTTTATTTTAATTTCTGAGATTATGGTAATGCCCAAATTAATTTAAATTTATCCAGATTGGAAGCAAAAGATAATTACGTAAAAAAGAGAAGAGAGAGAGAACACGAAACCTTTTTATGTTCCCCTTAATGGCTTAATGATGATAAAATAACACGAAATCGATCTTCTCCAATTCAAACTTGCATTCTTCGTCTCCGTCGTCGCCGGAAGTCCTATCTCTGTTGACTCTAGTCATCCTCGACAATTCGAATTGGTTTGATCAGGTGATCCTTCTTTATATTCCGCTATGAATTCAAAACAAACTTGTCCAAATCTCGTTCCTCGAATCTGACTAGGATTCTTTGTGCATAGATAGGCTTTCTGTTTAACCTAGCTCCTAATCTTGTGTGTATAAGTTGAGCACTGTAGACCCGCGTGGCAAAAGAAAAATGAGTTAGAGGCAGGTCTCTTGTGTTGATCTGATTTCAAAATTTTGGATTAGTGCTGTGTAGTTGCTCAACATGATGTATTTACATATCGGAATCGAGTAGAGTAGCGTAGCTTGTAGGGGGCGTTTATGGTTATTATCTTAATAGTTGTTGTGTTCATTAGATTCTCTATTCGATTACTTGCCTAATATAAACCTTCTGTTTGTTTCTGGATTTGTGATGATTGTAGTGGTTTATGCTTTCTTTTACATTAGTTCGAATTTAGGTTTAGTTTTGTGTGCTTTTAGCTAACTTTAAGACCTAAGTCTGTTTTAATTTTGTGATTTATGCTTGCTTTTACATCAGTTTTAACTTTCGGTTTAAATTTGTGTGTTCTAGCTATAATAACTTTGATGGGTTCAGTGTTGACCTGATATTAATTTGTTGATTGAGATATTTGGTGAGGATTGTTATGGATTATGCTTGCTTTTACATCAGTTTCGCTCTAGGTTCTAACTGTTTGTGCTCTAGAGAGCTATCTCTGATCAGTGTTAACCTGATGTATTTTCCGTTTATCATCCTTCTTATTGCAGATTAAGGTAGATTCTCTGGGATTAGTTTTCTTCTGTGAGACGAGACGATACATGTTGCATTTGGTTCTTTACATCTAGGTAATGAATGAAGGCTATGTGTGATAGATTTCTTCCTTCAAAATGCTCTTCATCAACCGCAGATGAGAAAAGTGATAAATCCCCACTTAATGGTTGGACAGTAATTGTAAACACAGCTTCTTCCATGGCTAGTGGCGCGATTAGGAGGTTTCAAGATCGTGTTTTAGGGCCGAGTAGGACCGGTATTCCCAGCACTACTAGTGAGATTTGCCTACTGGGTGTCTCTTATAAAATCTCTGAAGGTGAATCTTCAGAAGAAGCAGATGCTGGATGTGTATTGGATGCTTTTAGACAAGACTTTTCGTCCTTAATACTAATGACATATCGCAGAGGTTTGTAGATTCACTTCATATCAAGCTAGCGTTAAGTGGTCAGAGAAAGCTTATTGTGTTATTTTTACAGGTTTTGAGCCTATTGGAGACACAACTTATACTAGTGATGTTGGTTGGGGTTGCATGCTTCGAAGCAGCCAGATGCTCTTTGCACAGGTATGCTTTCCGGACTAGTTATTATTTTTAGCTTGAGGCGCCACATCTTCTTAACGTATGGTATGTGACCATCTTTAACAGGCATTGATGATTCAAAGGCTGGGAAGGTCCTGGAGGAGAAAGGATTCTGAGGTTAGTTGTTGTGTTCTCCAACCTCTGTCTTAGTTACTGAATACATAATACTAGGAACATAAATCTGGTTGATTATGAAATGCGCTTGTTTCGTTTGATGATGCAGCGGCCTGAAGAGGAATACTTAGAAAGCTTAGAACTTTTTGGTGATTCTGAGGCTTCAGCATTCTCCATTCACAATCTTATACTAGCTGGAGAATCTTATGGCCTGGCTGCTGGGTCATGGGTAGGACCATACGCTGTTTGTCGATCATGGGAATCATTAACTCGGAAGAAAAGAGAAGAAACTGATGTTAAAGACCATTCGTGTTCCATGGCTGTCCATATCGTTTCTGGCAGCGAAGATGGGGAGAGAGGTGGAGCTCCCATTCTCTGTATTGAAGATGTCAACAAAACTTGTTTGGAATATTCAGAAGGAGAAACTGAGTGGACTTCAGTTCTTCTATTGGTCCCACTGGTTCTTGGACTTGACAAAGTGAACCCAAGGTTTGTGATTGTTTATCTCCTTGATTGTTAGACGCTATGTACCATTGATCGCTTTTTAGTGATACAAACATGAAGCCAACGATACAACTATGGAGAGGATATGATTGTAACATACTGCAATCATTTATATCTTTCTGAAAGAATTCTAAATTTGTTGCCAGGTACATTCCATCTCTGATAGCCACTTTCAGTTTCCCTCAAAGCCTCGGCATATTGGGCGGCAAACCAGGTGCATCAACTTACATAGTTGGAGTTCAAGAAGACAAAGGTTTCTACCTTGATCCACACGATGTTCAACAGGTTTTTCTGTTGACTCCTTCTAAATTCATCGTTTTAGAAACAGGAAAGAATTAGTAAAGAAACTCAACTTTTGATTTCATGCTTTGGTTTGAGACATCAAGGTGGTCAATGATATTATTGTATTGTCTGTCACATTAATAAATGTGCTTCATCTCACATGTCTGTCTCACTGATTAAGCCTCTCATAATGGTTGGTAGGTAGTGACAGTGAACAAAGAAACTCAAGATGTTGACACATCGTCTTACCATTGCAAGTGAGTTAATTGATCATTTTAGCCTCATTTAGTTCTTTGTTTCTACATGGTTCCCACTTAGTATTACTCATACTTATATGCTATCTACAGTACTCTACGTTATGTTCCATTGGAGTCACTCGACCCGTCGCTAGCTCTTGGATTCTATTGCCGGGACAAAGGTTAGTACTTGCACTGGTTTCTAATAAAGTTATAATGCGGTTTAGTGTCGGTTCAACAAACTTATAATCGTTCTCATAGAAACTGAAACCAGTATAATAACTCAATTCTAATTTCTTTTGTTTTGGTTTCGTTACACTAAAATCAGTAGCGGTTTATTTAGCTTGATATCACTTTGCTACTTTGGTAACGCAGATGATTTTGATGATTTCTGTATCCGAGCAACAAAGCTAGCTGGAGAATCCAACGGGGCTCCATTGTTCACGGTGACTCAATCACACAGAGCCGGTGACCTTGGAATTGCAGAAACCAGCTCTGTGGCATCGTCTGCAGAGATATCTGGTGGGGAGCATGAAGATGATTGGCAATTACTTTAAACAATTTCACTTGTCATTCGTTTTCATTTGGTAACTTTGTCCGAATTGTCAAAGTTTACGTCTCATGAAACCATTCTTTCTCCACCGATACTAAGATTTGATGTTGTGCTATAATAAAATAAACACTGATTAGTATCAGCCACATGAATGTCTTGACAATTAGGTTATTATTTTCATAGGAAGTCATCACACTTAAGTTTGATACCGAAGCAATATGCTTTCTACTTCTACAAAGCAAAAAGGAAAAATTACATGCCTTGGTTTGTACTAATCGCTCTTTCTTCGGATAAATTTTATACTACTCGTGGATAGTCAACAAAGTCGTTGTAGTATAGTGGTAAGTATTCCCGCCTGTCACGCGGGTGACCCGGGTTCGATGCCCGGCAACGGCGTTAATCTAGCTTTTTTTTATATAAATTTTTAACTATGTTATTAAAAGCTAAAACAATGGCTTCGCTCGGGTTTGAACCGGAGACCTTCAGTGTGTTAGACTGACGTGATAACCAACTACACCACGAAACCTTTGTGTATTAGGTTGTAAAAACGATCTATATTTATATTCTCAGTGTATTTAAAGTTAATCAAACCGTATTAAGGTGAATCATTATTTTCTCGTAACTTTTGCTTAGTTACTGGTTAATGGTTATACACTATTACATGCTGAAGAACAATAATAAGAACTAGTAAGAATAATGTAAACACAAAGTAACGGCAAAGAAGATGTCATAAAATCTCAACCGAGGTTCCAACATTACGGGAAACTAGACATGAACATCGGTCTTGTTTAGTCTTCAAACCCAAAAGAAAAAAAAGAACAATAATGAAAAAAACGAAGAAAAACAAAAGCAAGAGTCCCAAACAACAACTAGAGAGATCGATCCACATGTTCCTTATTCATCTTCGGTACTTGCTGCACTCAGATCAACATTTAGGTCCAGTTGCTGCAACACAATAAAGAAAAAGAAACACAAAATTGATGTGAAAGATGTAAAAGAAGCCACAGATTTTTGTTTCCATGGAATCAACATATACATCCTTAGAAAATTTCAGAACGTTTACCTTTCCAGTGATTAAAGTATACATGTTCAACACATCAGCAACAGTTGTCTCGAAGTGTGTTGTAGCATCATAGCTCTGTAATTTATGACCAAGGAAAATGTTAGACATTTAAAGCAGGTAATTGATAGAAACTAGAGATGGGTTAAGGCTTACCGTTGATATAAAACAGTTGTCCAAAGCTGGCTCGTTGACAGGCTCGTATCTATCATACAAATCGAAGAATATCTCATCAACAGGACCCAAAAGATCAATGCCAGCCTTTAGTTCAGTTTGAGGGTTATCGGTCTCTGCATCTGTCGACACAAATGCAATGAATTTTCCCTTGGGAGCCACGTTGTGGGAGTACGAGCAACAGAAGACATACCTGCCAGTGTGTGGAAACCTCTCATAACATCAGAACCAACAGAGAAAAATAAAGAGAATGGCAAAAGATGGCAAAACAAACATCACTGTAATTTTCAAACATGGCAAAAAAAAAAACTGTCTCTGTGTGTATATGCAATTAAGTTGTGGTCTAAAGACGGTTTCCAGCTATATGGAAGAAAGTTAAGCTTACAGTAAGCTTAAGAACATGTGTATTGAGATGGTGCTGAGCTTAGCTACCACAAAACATTAAAAAAGCAAAATACAAAGGAACTCACATGTCTGATTTGCGGGCCAGCTGTTTCTGAGGTATGATGACCTGTACCGAGTGAGAGTCATTGGTGTTTGGAATAGGGTGGCTCATAATTGCAATGGCCCGAGCAACTCTGCCAATCTTCCTAACCTGTTGAATGTGATTACTCATCATATCATGAAAAACATTCCATATTCATAATGTAAATAACCAGAAAAAAAAAGAAAGGACATGCTCAAATCATAAATGATACTTCGAGAAAATGCTGACTGTGATATTACCTTGTTTGGCAGGTAGGAAGGGTCACACACAACCTTTTTGCATTTGGCAGTCTCTCCCTCAGATGTTACACCAGTAACCTTACCTTCCTCGTCAAACTCTACCTGTTACAGTGCCCATACCACATAATGTTAGACCTTTTCCCCTCTTGAAGACTTGCACCACAAGAAAGAAGAAAGAAACAGGTTTAAAAATGAGGAAGATAATTACCTTGCACTCAGGTTTGTTTAACATATATGTGCCACCATAGACAGCACTAAGTCGTGCAAATGCCTGAACAAGGAAAAAAGATAGAGAAAAGTCACAAAAGAATCAAGTAACTAGTCATCTAAACCTTCAGTAAAATTTAAGAAACCAAGGCAAACATCGGAAATATAGAAAAACCTGAGGTAGTTCTCCCAACCCATAGAGAGGGTAAATATATGGAGAGGTTCCTTGGAAACGTGCAAGAGACTCTGCATAGAGCTAGTCAACCATTTAAAGCGAGAATGTCAAGTTAGCTGCTACAGAACTAAACATAGAATTGGTTAAACAAGGGAGACAAGTCTGAAAAATTCACCTTCATTCTCATCACAGTATCTAAGGCGGGTTGATTGAGATGTTGATCATTAGTGTGAAGTGCCACTGCGTGACCAATAAAGTCAATTGTGTTCTCATCGAGACCAAATTTCCTGCCAAAGTGTCATCTAAATTGTTAGAACCTAAACGCCAGTGACACCAAAAAAAACAGCTAGATAGAAGGCATGAGGAAATCAGCTTACGCAATCAGTTCCTTTGTTGTAATTTGGGTCAAATCCATCCCGTTGTGTGTCTTCGGGTCCTTCTCGTCGTAATCCTGAACATAACTGAAAAACTTGCCAGCTCTACGTTTCTCAAATATACCCATGAGAGGAGACTTCAAGGCCTCCATAGGAGTCACTGGCACCTTTTGAACCTGTAAACAAAATTGCAAAGAGTCATGACCAAAATGATTCTGTAAAGAAAAAACTGCAATCAGTGAGAAGCTTGTACCTTCCCTTTAACGAACACATAGCTTCCATCAACGGCTTTAAAGGACAAGTACTTAGTCACGTCAGTGTGAATAAGAGTACGAACAAGCTTGCCATTTCCCATCATAAACTAATCCACCACATAGAAACAACAAAGAGTTAGTGTGAGTCATAATATAAAAGAACATGGATGCCACCAATAACAGCCAATACCTTAGGCATCATGTCCACATTGTAATCCCTGCTAGCACCTAAATGTTCAGGAGCCTTGTCTTCTCCCCTGAACTTCTTCCAAAGCTGCAAACCAAAAAAAGAAATAATCAAAATCATCTACCAAAAAACTACAACACAGAAGTTCATCTAAAAAAAGTTCAGAACCAAGAACCTGATTGAGGTTAAGGGATGTAGATTCTCCACCATAGTAATCATTCCTGTCCATGTGAAGCACCTAATATCACCACAAATCAACACTAATCAGTCTACCAAATCCAAGAACGCATCTGATCATGGGAGGCCAATGAAACGCATTTACATAACAACAAAGTCTGCACATATCTATATTAATCGCAAACCAAACATATCTCATCTAAATCAAGATCGACAAAAAGCGAGTCTAAATCATACAATCGGATTATCGGAGATCTAATCTGATCTGAGATCGGTTTATCAAATAACAGTAGAGAATCTAATCCGGATCAGAGCAATAACCGACGAAAACAGATGATGAATCAAAAGCCAATCAGAGACGAATCGAGAGACCTTGACACCATCGACGGAGAGGAGACCACTGAGGATACACTCCTTGAGACCGGTGCCGAGAACAATAACTTCGTACTCTTCATCCATGCTTGATTTCCAAAGTCTCGTCGAGAAATGAGAGAGAGAGAAGGGAGATTAGTGACGACGAGGTGAGGTCTATTATAAAATATAGAAGATGCCTTGCTTGTGGGGGTGAAATGTGTAATCTGGGTTTCGATTCCCTAATTGTCAAACTGAAAAGCTATAAGGACTAAATGTGAAATCCTGTATTTTAAAAATCAATTTAATGTGTAGAATTTTGTGATGTAGCTCTATTTTTATGGTAGTTGTAAAGGTTTAACAAAAAACTAGGGGTGCGCCGGCGCTATGCGCCGGATTTCTATTGTATAATCTAATTTTTTAATGCAAGTATCTATGTGTTTTTAGAGATAATTTTCCTGTCAATATATGCTTCTGACTGAATGTAAATCTGCATAATTGTATTTAAGATCCGTGGCTATTTTTTTTTTTTCTAGCCTATTCCCATAATATATGTTCGTTGTTATGTGTTCAATGGTGACATAGCATTACGTTATTTCATAACCTAATGTTCTTTAAGCATATTTTTCATAAGCAATAAGTTACGAAACTGCTTTAGTCTTTCATTATTATATAAAAGGATAAACCCGATGTCTAGACATTCGTGATGGTCTGTTGTTTTTAAAAAATATTTTTTCGGTGTGGTTTTAACATTTCGTGGTTTTGTTTGTTGTCTAGGCAGCCGATGCCGTCGTTTTTAACATGGAAACGGCGCGTATTTTAGTGCGGAGTTAAGAACGACGTGCATTACAATCCCATGACGTAAAAAAACCCAAAGTCGACATAGCTTAGAGCAATGATCCCTTCTAATAGACCCTGATGAACCCTAATTAGTTAAAGAGAGTACTTTTGAGTTCCGTTCGGTTCTTGTGAGAAATTCAGAGAGACTGAGTTCGAGAATAGATGAGTTCGAGTCTGGTGCGAGTGTTATAATTGAGAAGCTGAGTTTCCGTTTATTTGAAAACGAAAAGTGAAAGTGTCCACTATTACGTTTAATTTGTGGCCAGTGGACCTCTTCGTTTGTATCGTTGTGGTTCTGTTTGTTTATCGTATATATTAAAATCTTATATATTAAAACAGAAGTCATGACTTGACTTCAGGTGTGATTTTTTTAAAAAATGAACTATTAGAAAGTCATGTTACATTCTCTAATAATTTTATCATTATTATATCTTATGAAAAATCATATCTATAATAACAAAGATACACTTAACAATTTGGTTTTGGTAAATTACCCCACACCTTTCAACTTCGTCACACAAAATATGTCAATAGATATAAGTTTAGGAATCTTCTATTATTTATAAGGAAATATGTCAATAATAATTAAATGCATCCACAATATATTAACAAATATCTCAG